AATACCTACGTTTTGGAGATCACTTAGTGCGTCCTCCAATGTCATCTGCGACGAAGTGTAACTGGAACGGCGAGAAAAGAGTATTCTTGACGAACGACGCTGCTGGTAACGAATGGTCTACTTAGTTTATCATAGACCCTCACTCGACCAGAGATCTGTGAGTACAGTGACCTCAGTAGGTTGACGTACTTCTGGAGCATTCCTTTTCGAAGAAGGGTGCCCATCAGAGCTTCCCGGTCAACTGAGTCGAAGACTCCTTTCAGATCAAGGAACAATGCAATCGTTGGTCGACGGTGGATGTAACGCAGCTCAAGGACCTGACAGAACGTAAAAATCAGGTCAATAAATTCACGTTCAGGCCGGAATCCGGCTTGCTGTTCATGAATGTTGGTCTCTCTTAAAGGGGTCAAACGTCGGAGTATGACCAAGACAAGCATTTTGGTGACGATCGGGATCAAACTGATCCACGGTGGTTTTCGCATTCACTGCGAGATCCTTTCTTAGAAATGCGAACTATCAGTGACTTGATTTATATAGTTATATTATTAAATGGTCAATAGTATGGAGGTAATCAACACAAAGGCTTATCTTATCGTACTATGGAACAGCAGTGTTTCATCAAGACAAAGATAGACCGAAGCACACCCAAGTGTGCTTTGTTCAGATGTGGAGTTACATTGGCATTGACATTCTACCCTCAGCTCACTATTACTTTCGATATTTCAAACAACCCTACTAGTACTGATATTGACCGCAGTTGTTTTCCAACGCAAAGCAAAATGCGCGGAGAAGAGAACGACAAAAGAAACAGCAAAGCCTACTGTTGGAAAGCTCATCATCGCTCAATAAATTCATCTCCATTAGATTACAGTTTGACGTGGTTTGATGGCTTGCGTGCTTCCCTGCGAGCTACACAGAATTGTTTTACACAGCCACAAATCCATTCATGACAGGAAAATCAATAGATGGAGGCCAGAAAAAGCTCAGTCTCCCACGGCCAACTGTCTGAGGTATCTTCTGGCTACTTTTTCCTATACACTCTCGCCTCTGCAGAAATCATTTAATCAAATAAATGGAATGAGTGGCAGTTTACTTGTCAAAACACCCCGCTAGATGGACATAGGAGTGGTGTCCTTGGGGTTTCATACCAATGGTTGAACTGAGGTTATATAGACCATATTTTCAACCTCCGTCATATTCTGGAGCACCAATACTCTGTTCCGTAACTGATTATTTCTATCTTCCTCGATCGGAAAGCGGCTTCAAACTCAGTGGATTGCTCCAAACTCTGACGCTGCCTCACTCCAAAGGATGTATTTGAGAAGGTTGTTTCATTCCTACGTTATCATTAGATCAATAGCCGAAGCTGAGTCCGACGTTACGGCACGTTTTTGCCCGAGTTCAACACAGCACATGGTGTTCAGCAGGGTTACCCTTACCTCTTATTTTATTTAACTTCTCTATAGACTTGATTTTAAAAGTAGCTTTATTCTTGATCTAGGATCGTGGTATTTATTTGCACTGAAGTGGTAAATTAACCGACATGGAGTATGCAGACAACATTGCTCTCTCATGTGACGACTCAGGTAAGTCGCAAACATCTCTGAATAACTTAAGTGCTTATGTAATTATGCTTGACATGAATTTATTACCTTAAAAGGCAAACTTTTGCTTCAAGACTTCGTTAGTCCAACTCCGAACCTCACTCTAACTGGGGAATAATAGAGGTAGTGAATACATTTTGCCACTTCCGCAGCTACATCTCACGTGGTGGATGCATCACGGATAAAGTATCGGGACTCGTACTGAAGGCTCCATTAGCACTTGAGACTTCCGGATGTCGGTAAATGGTCGGGTGCATGCTGCAGCAGTTTGACTGGTTCTCCTATACAGCACAGAATCTTGACCATTAGGGAAACAGGCTAAAGATAGAACATTGCTGTCTACGCAGCATTCCACGTATCTGGTGGGGCAACCGAACAAGCATTGTTGAGATTAGGCGCAGAGAATTAGGAAACAGTGGCATCCACTGGAACAAGTGGTCGATTTCCGTCTACTGTGCGTTGGGTCAGGTATTGCGCATGTCACGGAATAGGTTATTAGAGTGCAATGTTTTCCCAGGCGGGTATCGGGTGCCAAAAAGTAAAGATGGTCAAACTCAAACCTGGCATGAGAGTGAAAACTGTCACCAGGAGAATTGCTCACATGGGCCGAGTTAGTTTTCGTTAATAGGGGCCACGGGATCATTGTAATCAATAAAAAGATAAACTGAATAATTTGGCTGAGTGTCGTGAACAGCGGCATTCGTGCATCTTCAATAGATAGAAAAAGGAAGGTAGAACGCATTTTCTGTAAATTATAATATACATATAAATATAATTAGGTCAGCTTTCCGACAAAATCGCCGATTCAGAGTGATTGTTATATCACGAAAATTATGAATGTTTTCAATTACAAACACAATCGCATCGGACCCCATTAACATTAACCATAGATAACTAGGGTAACACAAACGCAACGCGATAAAAACGACAACCGTGCACAGCTCATTAACTAGATGCGGTGACAGATCACATTAACGAGATTTTGATGCGCAACGGGCTTTTCCATTGATCACAATGCTCGGCTATTTGATTTACGCATTCCGGTGCATCCCAAACCAGTGTGGATGGTGGATCGGACAGGGTGAGTTCCCTTAGCCGTGTCAAACAACCCTGTTCCATTCGAATGAGTTCTCCTGTATACATTAGAGTTTACTACAATCCCATTTGATCCATTCTATTGAATCAGTTTCAATAACTACTAATCCGCACACGTTCTCCGTTGTAATAAGCTTTCAATTTGCTCTCCTTGAGCAAATCCAATACAAAACCCCTAACGGATTAGGGAAATTATTAGAATATAACCGTCGTTCAAACTGAGTATCAACGTGGCAACTCAACATACTGGCAGGTGGAAGAGCACGGGGTCAGTACACTAACTGAGAACAACCCATACAATGTCAGAGGATGACCATTCCATGTGAAATGACAACCACAAACGGTTTACGTTTCTGAAGATTTTGATAAGCATAAGGTGAACTATAGCAATCCACACTTCAAACATCCTCGCTGGCATGAAAGAAGCATATACATTTTGAGTACAACAAATTTGTCGGTGGAACGAATTGCATTGAACAGATTCAGCCTCGTGTTCAGATTAATTGGTGAAAAGGGCTGGATTTTGTCAAACCTACAAAAGTAAATACTGAATTCCGGATTGTCTACAAGTCATGCATCACAAAGCTGCTTAGGTTCGTTATATCGGTTGCCATCCAACGATGGAAGCTCCCTTGGTTCAACAGAAAGAACTACACATGATAAATCGTGGTTTACTGTCGTGCATTAAATAGTCAGATTGTGAAAGTTTCCAACAGAGCCATAAGCCCGGGGGCTAGTCCTGAGGTGAGCGAGACGTGATGCACGCAACAAGCTCGCAAAGATGGGTTGTGTTATATCTTGTAAATAGAAAATGAAGACGGCCTGATGAGCTGCCCGGTGACCGGGTGGCTAGCATACCTGCGTTCTGTCTGTGGTATCGCGTGTTCGATCTCCAGTTGAGTTGATCGATTCGCACTGCTGATGACACCCAATTGGGTCCCAGCAACCGTTCAGTGCGTACTAGCTTTTCAGTCCTCATTCCATTTGTTCTATACACGATGAATTTCCCTAGAAAATTCGATAGAATCCGCCAATAGTCTCATGCAACTGTAAAAGACTTCGATCGGGCGTTCAGCAGTGAAATATTAGTGGAAGATCTAAAACCCGAGTAGTTTCCCAGCTCTCGTAGTGTCTGCACTATGCATTCATCATCACAAATACTATAAAACTACCGTTAACCAAGCATCATAATGAATAATTGAACAACTGGTTACTTCAGTCATTATTATCAATGAAATATAAGTGAAAAGTCTACAACAGAATACGAACCGCTTCTTTCATCCCAGAGGTCAAATGATAGATTCCAGTGCTGATGGTTAATCTTCCTAACCTGGTGCTACGATCTGTTCACATGATACTTTTCTAAATATCAGGCGAAATTTAGATTTTTCTTTGGCTGACTTGAGTAGAAAATATGAATGCCGCAGAGTTGACAGCTTATTTCGAATCATAAACACTAGACACAGAGTTGAAACGAAAGCGGCCTAAGTGCATGGGCCCGTAATCCATCAAGAAAGCTGCTTATCTTACAATCGTACGAAGTTGGCAAAAAGCGAAATACCAAGGAAAATTTTTATAATGAATTTGAGCTAAAAGTTGAACAACTCTGTTCAGTCTAAACAGAAAAGTATGACAAAATCCTGTCATTCATTTTATATATAGCCTTAGCACCATAGTCTGAAATAAATGCATTCAAGAATATGCCCGTTGTGTGATAATATCTTCATAAGGAAACCGCCTAATCTACCATGTTCATCTCCGTAAACTATCAGGAACCGGGCAACACGACCGTTGAAACATTATCGCTTATAATATTGGTTTCAAAAATAAAATCACAATCAAGTGAATTTTTCTGTCAGAAAAAGAGCGAAACATCTGTGTTTTTGATAAAGAACCCATGGGAACATGTATACTGAGATTCCATCAAGCACGGAAATCATTTCTTAATTTTTAACTAAATTCTCCTAAAACTATTCGTATATTCAGTCCTGTTTCCACCTATGCAAACAATTATCTTCTGACCACTTCAGGCGTACAAGAAAGCAAATGTCCTATCCTGATAGACAGACAAACAGACAGTGAGAAATCACCTGACCAAGGTCACTCTGTCGAGTAATCAGTCAATCGAACGTACCAGTAAAACGTCGATGCAGCCGACCAATCATAGCGTTCGGCAGATATTCAGGTGTTGCACCAATCATGTGGACACTGGACGTCCTATTTAAGCACACGGACGGGCATGTGGTCGGATTATTCATTAGCATTGTAAACTAGTAGTGCGCTATTTCAGGTGGTTAGACAATGAGTGTATCCAAACCAGGTACTAATCAACGTCGAGTTTGTTTGGCTGTCGATGGTAGCAATCACTCGAACCATGCAGTGGAATGGTATCTATCGGAAGTGTACCGACCGGGAGACTATGTGATTTTTGTTCATTGTTTGGAAGCTCCTAATCTACCCACCATGACAGTCAGTTCCGGACTCAGTATCCCTATAGACACTTGGACAAAAGCGCTTCAAGAGAAGTAAGCAGTTCTTAATCTGCAGTGGTTTTTACGGTTAATTTTCATTTATAAACGCACACTGATCTCACAATAGGAAAATTTAACGTACGAGTATGGACATAATTACGATCTAATTGGACTGGAAGATCGAGCTCGTAACAAACCTAGAGTACAAATTTGTATTGCCAATCCTTCCCAATTGATCAGTCTAATAGTAGTAACCTAATTTGTCCCGTGGATTTACAAGTTTTCTAGATTTAAACTGAAACTGCAAATGGGATGTAGGTGCTTCAAATTAGCAATTTCGTCAAGTAAGTCATTACGAATGAAGGTTTTCGGAAAAGGAAATTGATATTAGCCGAATCGGATAACTAAATGTGTTACCATGTGATCTTCATGTACTCAATGAATCCCAGGTAGTCATAATGCAGTTTTGATCGAGTCTTTTGAGACAATGGAGAAAAGATGAAAAACTGACTTTTACATCAACGCGAAAAATCAGTGAAGTTTAGAAGCGTAGAGTATGTGAAATGAATTCGAAAATTTACAGTCGATGTGACTTATTTCCTTCATTTCACTTTGTTAACGATGGACTCGACTTTTGGAAGAAGCTCTGCTCTGAAAACTCATTTGTTTAGGCCTGATTCAGCATTATTTATTGATTTATTCGACCACATCTTTTATAATCAGAAACTTCAGATTATTCTTGAATGAACAAAATTATGAGAGACGGAGAAATTACGTAGTTTCATTATTCGGAAAATGTGCATTGGTTAAGAATAGTAACAATAATAAGTAAACAGAAAAATATATTTTTTCTTATCCACTGTAACAGTTTGACCCCGATATCAATGCTTTTCATCCAGACCCCTTTGATCTGTGATATTCTTGGTGTTGTTTTGGTACCATGCTTGTTCGCAAGACGATGATATACATATATATATATATATATATATATACTAAGAAAATATCTGATAATTGAGACCTGTACGTATCTATAACTTCCCAATGCCCCTTACCTGGTAAGATATGTTTGGTCAAACTTCCAGGTCGCATAGTCTAAGAAAGATGGCATTGCTTGAGCTTTGGAAACGGAGTAAAATGTACTAAACGAGAGTATAGCTTTATTTATCTATGCTCGAACTTCGCACATGTCATGAAACATTCTACAGGTATTATGGGACTTTTAGCTACAAAAAGACTGTTTACTAAATGCAAACTCGTCAGCCCTGTTGACCCCGATGATCGTCCGGGATTGTTCAGCTAGCAAAATATTACCCTTGTCACAGAAAGTGAACCATTCAGTCAGTTAATCTGAGAACCCCCTCCCCCTCGGCTAGTGTTGACCATCACCGGCTTATAGATCACCATTTTTATTATGTATTAAGTAGTAACTGAACGATTGAATAACATTCCCTCGGACGTACGTAATCGGTTTCACGGTTTTCCACACTCGCCCGGTAATGATACTCGTCCAAACCTTCATCCTTTTTTTCTTCAAAAAGTTGTAGTATACAGGTCAACTAACCCGCTTGCTCCGGGAATTTCTATTTTCAGGTTATTAATGACCTTGGGCATACAGTTAAGTTGAATTATGTCGATGATTCTTCGAATATCCGTTTTGTTTTCAATTCGAACAAGATTATCAACTATAGGTAAAAGCTTAACGGTATTTTTTTATTAGAATCCACTGCACATGCGGTGGTGGCCCGGTGGTACCGTCACCAAATTATCACCCTAGGAGAGATGTGTTCAAATCCCACCACCACCGCCTGATTTTCCTCAACTGTGTGCGTTGAATGGCAACACATTTGATTGATCGCTTCCCCCTTCCTGAAAAGTGTATCTTTGTCTAATCAACAAAAGGAAGTAAAATAAAAAGATAAAAAGAAGAAGACATACTTGTACCCAGGAAATGTATTGTCGTCACAAATAGTATACAAATATATTCATCTACTTGGTACAGTGTTTCTTAGCTTTCCACTACACACTTCATTTGCTATATATATATATATATATATATATATATATATGTGTGTGTGTGTGTGTGTGTGTGTGTGTGTGTGTGTGTGTGTGTGGATCAAACTCATGCAATGCTCTGGATTTGTCAGATTTTCCCCCTCTGCAACTCTTAGTATTTTTAGTTTCCTTCAAAGGACTGATTATTATAGTGACCAATATCAAAGGCAACATATCTGAGATAATATACGTCTGGGTTTTCTATTCTCCTTGGTAAACATCATAAGCCATTACAATTTCTCGAGTTCGATGAGGGTTGCTTAGGAATCCGTTGTAAGATAACAAAACTTCAGTAAAGACCCGGATGCCTATGTAATCAATGGAATATTATTTTAAATTTTCGTACAAACTTGTTTCACCGGTTATCTGGTACAATTTATGCTTGTCTTGTTGTTTATATAGGAACACGGCTTTATTGAACAATCTGCATTGGGACACAAAGTATGAAGTACCTAAATTTTGATACCTGTCGGCCCTTTTTCCTCCTTCTTTCATCATTTTACTCCCTTTTATTGAACCAATTTATGATACAATTTTGAGGAAAAGAGGGAAGTGGCCAATTAAAGGGCTGCCATACAACACAAAATGGGAGAGTCAAGCTGTGGTCATAGGATTCAAACACACATCCTTCTAGGTGATAATTTGGTGACGTTGCCACCAGGCCACTACCACCACCGATTGTTTGTATGCTCAGTTCACCCTATTCTGATTTTTTAGATTGAGCTGAAAACTTACAACTACTGGTGGTTGAATTGTGACTGGCAGAAAATGATTGGTGTGTTTTTAATGCACCGGATCTCGAGAAACGGAAATGTGTACACTATGCAATTCTAATTTTGTTTGGTTCTGGCTGAAAAGTAATTGTGAAATTCATTTGCCAGCTCGAGTGGCAACGTGAACCAGTAAATGGGTTTGGAAGAATTTTACTCTCCCTGACCATTAGTTATTACTTGATTAATGTGTTTTATCAAAAAAATCAAAGTTTAATACCGATTAACTGAATCCTGATCGAATTGATTCTTAATTTCAAATAATCATCAAAGTAACGAATTGTATCCTGTATTGGTATAGTGGGTTAGATATAAAACCAGTGTTGTACTGCTACAAATTACATTGAAACTGCTATCAGCTCTTGCTCTTTCTCACCGTGGTTTGCGTGGCTGTCTCTTGATACGACATAACACTGAACGGAACCAAATACTGTCGACCGTAACAGATTTCATCTGGTGCTCCACCTTCATTGAAAGCGGATTTTCCCGTTCTCCGTTGGTTAGACGGACGCAGATCTATCCTTGATCGCAAATTACCTTTCGTGTATACTTTATAAATCTATAAAATAACTATTAACTGACAGCTGAATGTCGCTCGTAGCAATGTTTGAGCATCTCATCAATTATGGCACTTATCCGATTTCACCACGTCTGCATTCGCACACCTGAATTCAAAACAGACGGGTTTCACGAATGTTGCGCATGGACCGTAACCGCGGACCAGGAGCTATTGTTTGAGATGTACAGATGTTGAAAGGTAGAGAAAAACATCGGTCCATACAAAAGATGAAAGTGTGCATCATCATACAGCAGGTGTCTGTGTGCGTTTCACATTCCCAAAGCTGCATCTCTTCCCACCTACATACTGGACCAAATTTAATGCAACGGTTTAAGTTTCACCGGCAATTGAGGGTTACAAAAGAACATCACGTGTTCACCATTCATCAATAGCTGTGCTAAAAACTTTTGATAAGTTTGAACTTTATTTCCGGTTTCCCGTTTTCGATTTCACGGGTACCATTTTTGGTAACCATATGTTGGATATGAACCCCACGGCTTTAGTGGTTCGGTTATTCAATAAATGTTGAATGCATTATAATTCTGAAAGAAAGCTTCAACGGATCAACTAACAATCCATTATTCTCAATATGAGCGACGATTCTTTGATGGATTTATTCACAAACTCTGTATCTTCAGTCAGTTAGTGTAGATAGTTTGACTCTTCGTGTGTAGGGATTGATATGGATTTCTATACAGGCATTCACATCACACTCAGAATTACGTGAGGTTAACTTAATCCGCACAGAGCAAACACCGAATAAATATAGAATCGGTGTGCTTCATCAATGATTTGTATTTCCGATATTTGCTGTTGAAATAGTCCACGAAAACGTCTGCGTATTCTGGCCTTGATGTCACGTTGTTATGTAAAGGTACGATAACTCCTCCATCATCTGATTATGCTAGTCAGAGGAACAACAGATTTGCCGAGCTCGAATCCATATTGACTTTCTCATGGTTTTCCGGTATCGGATGAGAAATACACATCTTTGGATACAGTTATTTTATAAACAAGCAAATTTCTTTGCAGCATGTACTGAAAATGGATCATACCGATTGAAAGGGGTTTGATTAATTGTGACCAAATATTCTATCGACCGATCTTTTGAATAAAATATTTATGATTCCACAGTTGCAGTAAGCAATGGTATTCATACACACACCGCAACCTTGTCGCCAACGACGTATTAACTCACTCTACTTGACCAAATGGTCATACAGGAATTTCTTTTAGTTCAACCAGGTGTGGTGCAATCGCGCGCGCACAGACACACGAACTCGCTTGCATCCGAATGCAGGTAAATAAACGCACAAGAACACAATAGCACACACACACACGCTAATCAGGATGTTTTGATTACCTTGACATTGCTTGCAACGTGCAATCTATAAAAGTATTTCAAAGAACGACATCTGCCGGAACGTTGTAATATTGTCAGCAACCCTTGGACCGTTTTGAGTAAGCCTTTTATCAAATCAATTTCTAAGGTAAAGACCATGCATCTCAGCATGAGGCGTACTGTAGAAAATGCAATATCTATCTGGGGATTCTGCATGGTAACAAATTAAATCAAGACAAAATAAAACAGAGAAACAAAATATGAAGGTCAAAAAAAGTAGAATCATATCATCATGGAAAAGATAAACTAACTAAATTTCTTTCTTTTACAG